CATTTTATCTCTTTTTCTTGGAACAACTTCTGTCACGAAGTTTTGTCTGTCTGCCCCACCTTTCTCAACCCCACTCATTCTATCTCTTTTTCTTGGAACAACTTCTGTCATGAAGTTTTGTCTGTCTGCCCCACCTTTCTCACCCCACTCAACATTTTATCTCTTTTTCTTGGAACAACTTCTGTCACGAAGTTTTGTCTGTCTGCCCTACCTTTCTCAACCCCACTCATTTTATCTCTTTTTCTTGGAACAACTTCTGTCACGAAGTTTTGTCTGTCTGCCCTACCTTTCTCAACCCCACTCATTCTATCTCTTTTTCTTGTTCTGTCACGAAGTTTTGTCTGTCTGCCCCACCTTTCGCACCCCACTCATTTTATCTCTTTTTCTTGGAACAACTTCTGTCACGAAGTTTTGTCTGTCTGCCCCACCTTTTGCACCCCACTCATTTTATCTCTTTTTCTTGGAACAACTTCTGTCACGAAGTTTTGTCTGTCTGCCCTACCTTTCTCAACCCACTCAATGTTTTATCTCTTCTTCTTGGAACAACTTTTGTCCCAAATTCTGTACACATAATTTCTTCTCTGACAATTTCTCCCAATCTCATGTATCCTGTAACAACACCACTTCACATTTACCAGCTTTTATTTCCATCACCCAGTGGCGTTTCTTGTAACTACCCCCCCCCCCCACCCCCCACCCACCCCCAAATCCTTATTATTCCGCCTCAGTTTAAAAGCTTCTTTTGCAAGGTAATCCTAAACTGGTCATGTGTCTTCTTCAACTGCATTTTTCTCAATATTTCCATTAGGCCTCGCATCATCATTATCCGTTACAGTTCGCATTTGAAACATGCATTCTCAAATCTCGTTGTTGTCTTGTTTCACGAGTTTCATTTTTTTTTTCGTTAATTCTGATTAGTGTGCTTTCCGAATGTAGTTTTTTTTTTTTTTTTTACGCAGGCGACAAGCTTTCTTTACAATATATTTGTTTGTATTCTTGTTGGGTTCTTAAAAAAAGTTGTCGCGTAAATATCTATCTATCTATCTATCTATCTATCTATCTATCTATCTATCTATCTATCTATCTATCTATCTATCTATCTATCTATCTATCTATCTATCTATCTATCTATCTATCTATCTGTCTGTCTGTCTGTCTGTCTGTCTGTCTGTCTGTCTGTCTGTCTGTCTGTCTGTCTGTCTGTCTGTCTGTCTGTCCTGTCTGTCCTGTCTGTCTGTCCTGTCTGTCCTGTCTGTCTGTCCTGTCTGTCCTGTCTGTCCTGTCTGTCCTGTCTGTCCTGTCTGTCCTGTCTGTCCTGTCTGTCCTGTCTGTCCTGTCTGTCCTGTCTGTCCTGTCTGTCTGTCTGTCTGTCTGTCTGTCTGTCTCTCTGTCTCTCTCTCTCTGTCTCTCTGTCTCTCTGTCTCTCTGTCTCTCTGTCTCTCTGTCTGTCTGTCTCTCTGTCTGTCTGTCTCTCTGTCTGTCTGTCTCTCTGTCTGTCTGTCTCTCTGTCTGTCTGTCTCTCTGTCTGTCTGTCTCTCTGTCTGTCTGTCTCTCTGTCTGTCTGTCTCTCTGTCTGTCTGTCTCTCTGCCTGTCTGTCTCTCTGTCTGTCTGTCTGTCTGTCTGTCTGTCTGTCTGTCTGTCTGTCCGCTCATCCGTCTTTCAGTCTGTCTGTGTATCTGTCTGCCTACCTGTCAGTTTGTCTCTTCGTTTATCAGCCTGCCTCTTGGTCTGTCTGTCAGTCTGTATGCCTGTCTATTCCTGTGTCTGTATGTCTGTCTCATGTTGGTTCCCGCCAAATTATACATCCACAACTGTGGTTATTGACCGACTCGGTCACTAGTCGGTGCGTCTGCCACTCCTGTTATCTAGCTAGCCTCTTTGGTTAATTGTTTCTCTTCGTCACTCCACCAGTGAGTGAGCCTCCCCCTCCTCCTCCCCCCACCCCCACCCGGCAAAGAGTGAGTCGCTCCATCAGAGAGTGAATCCTTCTACAGTCATTTAAGGTCTGTCCTCCTGTCAAGAAAATAATCCTGGAAACATGAAGTAGTTCCGTACCGAGCGGAGCCATCTGTTGTGATTAGGATCTGGTATCAGCGTGGGAACAGAGATCAATACGACATCAGCGCAGGGGTCTTAGATGTTTGAGGAAATCGCGAGAGATAGAGAGAGAGAGAGAGAGAGAGAGAGAGAGAGAGAGAGAGAGAGAGAGAGAGAGAGAGAGGGAGGGAGAGAGAACTCTTAGAACGCAGAAAGGGCAGGGAATGGGCGGACAAAATAGTGGAAGAAATCCCTTTGACAGTCTGACTTTATGATAAGGGGGTGACATGGTCGATTGATTAGGGCGCCTATCTCTGGGTCAGAAGATCTAAGGTTCGATGCCAGCAGAAGGCTGAAAATTGCTACACAAACTCCCATGTGGGTTCCTGTGGTGCGTATTGGGTGGGAGAGGGGGGGGGGTGGTGGGGTAGAATAAACTAACTGTCCCTAAAAACCATATCGTCGTAAAAGTTGAATAATTCAGATTTTACCCAAATCGGATATTTTGGACCGAAAGGTCTGGCTGCACACTATAACACAACCTGGCAACCACCGTTTTTGTGCAGTAAAAATCCATGTCATTAGAAGTTAGGACAAAAGTTCACCCAAGCTATATAGAGGCAGTTTTAACAAATGGTTTTTAATCATGAAAAACTGATAAACAAACCAAACAATTTCTTGAGGCCTTGGAGAATCTTTAGAATTTCCCAAAGAACGAACGAACAAACGAACGAACTTTATTTTCAAAGGGTCTGTCTGTCTATCTATCTATCTATCTATCTATCTATCTATCTATCTATCTATCTATCTATCTATCTATCTATCTATCTATCTATCTATCTATCTATCTATCTATCTATCTATCTATCTATCTATCTATCTATCTATCTGTCTGTCTGTCTGTCTGTCTGTCTGTCTGTCTGTCTGTCTGTCTGTCTGTCTGTCTGTCTGTCTGTCTGTCTGTCTGTCTGTCTGTCTGTCTGTCTGTCTGTCTGTCTGTCTGTCTGTCTGTCTGTCTGTCTGTCTGTCTGTCTGTCTGTCTGTCTGCCTGTCTGCCTGCCTGCCTGCCTGCCTGCCTGCCTGCCTGCCTGCCTGCCTGCCTGCCTGCCTGCCTGCCTGTCTGTCTGTCTGTCTGTCTGTCTGTCTGTTTTACATTCGGCCCTTCCAAACACCCGACTTTCACACTGCACCTGAATTTTATCAATACGCATTTTATATTCAAATGATAATATGCATATTATGAATATTAAAAAAGAAAAGAAAGAAAAAAACAAACACAAAAGCATGGGTGGTAAAATGCACCCACATACCTTCACACACACCCATAAACACACCCCTATTCACCCACATAATACCTACCTACCCACACAGAGACACGCACATTCCACACAGACTCGCACATTCCACACACATACATACATACAGGTATACACATGCACACACAGACACACCCATTGAAATAAATGTAGACTCACACACACAAACAGACATACGTGCACAGACCCAATCAGATACACACACACACATGCGACACATACACAAACCTGCTTACACACACACACATGCAGACTGACACACGCGGACACACACACATATGCACAAAAACACACAGGCACAAACACACAGAAGCACGCACACAGACACACTCTGAGACACACAAACACACACCCAATCACAGACACACACACACGCTGATGCTCACGCAGACATACACACACAAACACACACGCAGAAGCATATGCAGACATTCATACACACAGGTTCACACACAGACACACACCCACAGACACGCAAACACATACACAGACATACATTTACACAGGCACACACACCGACACACGTAGACACACACGCAAGACACACATACACACACATAAAATAGGCTCCCAGATGTTGTGAAAGAGGTGAAAATTTGAAGACAAATATCACAAACATGAGATAGAGACAGTCGTAATTTGTGATCATGTTATGAGAAGAAGGAAACGGGAACATGTTGTGACCACTGGAAAGAAATGTTTAAAAATAAAAAATTGACAGAGGAAGACAAGACGAGACGATTTTTTGACGTTTTGTGTGTTCAAGGCATGGAAGGAAATCAACACCCGAACTGGTACATACTGTTGAAGATCACAGATTGTGGAGTAGCATGATCGCCCACGTCAGTCGGCCAGGCACATGATAATGATGACATATACTGAAAACTGACTTTTCTTGATTTAGATTTGATTTTGATATTTGTAAAGTGAATTTTTTGTCGTCAGTTGATTTAAATTTGATATGTATTTTTAAACTGGCCTTTCTGTAATTCTGTCATATTTGTAAAGCTAATGTTTGTGTATTTCACAGATTGTCCTGTTTCTCTGAAACAACATTCTACAAGAAACAGAGACAAAAATAATTGACGTTTTCAAAGGTGATTTCTAGAAACAGAAGGTGCGCCCTGATAAACAGAAAGAAACAGATGGGCACATTGAGATAGGCAAGAAACGAACATTTGGACTTTATACATCAAGAAACACAGCGAACATGACCAAAGGGAAGTGCACTTGGCAGGCTAGGAATTTTGTACATCAAGAATCACACTCAAATCTTCAAAGTAAAATTGGTTACGTCAGAAAATAAATTCTTCAAAAGTCTGCCTACTTCTCAGCGCAACCTACTAAGTTCGACTCACTTAAAAATGACAACGAAAGAAATGAAAATAACGAAACAAATTGTCACGTGAACATTTCGTTATTTCCTGTCAACCCATTTGTAACTCACCAAACTAGATCAAATACTACGCCTAAAAAGAACGTAAAAAGGCAGAATCGTTTGGAAGCAATTTCATTTGCTCAGGAGTTGGTTTTTTGATGGAGTATTTGTTTCGTACACTTCGGTTTGTTTCGTAAAACTTGTTAATGAAGCATCAGTAATTCATATTGATATACAGTAAATCGATAGACTTGTTGACAGTGTTGCCATGGGAAACGGATCATCCTTTGATCAGGCAAGAACTGTTTACCTGGATGTCAACGGCAAAGAAGAAAAGGTAGGCTGTCGGATAGTTTGTTGTATGTTGAATGTTGTATGTTAACACAATTTTTGTTTGTTATTGATTATTCGCGTTTCTGTATATGGTTTTTGCACTTTCTCTCGCTCGCTCTCTCTCTCTCTCTCTCTCTCTCTCTCTCTCTCTCTCTCTCTCTCTCTCTCTCTCTCTCTCTCTTTGTGTGTGTATGTGTGTGTGTATGTGTGACATATATGTTCATGCTCAGTGTGTCTTCACCATTCTGAGCCCACCTTCGAACTGGTCGACCCATGCCTTTTCTTCCAAGTGATTTTTATGACTCAGGCTTCTTCGTGTTGGGTCTGGGGCCTAAGTATGGGGAAAACAAGAATGGACTAACTGCAGCTCCAGCAAGCATGTCGCCAGAGTCTACTTACTGGAAGCTTCGTTCGAAGTCGGAGTGCATCCACCTGAAGGATAAGGAACCAAGAGTGCTTATAAATAGGCTACATCTATACAGTGGATGTGTACGCAACATCCGAGATCTGGAAAAGGACTAGAGTTTAGAGGTCGGCAAATAACCAGAACTTTCTGCCAGAGTTTATGGCGAAGAAGAAGAAGAAAAAGAAAAAAGAAGTAGAAGAAGAGAAAAAAAAAGATGACGACGACCGGCAACGACGATGAAGACCGGCGACAACGGCCGACGGTGACGACCGACGACGACAACCGGCGACGACGACGACAACCGGCGATGACGACGACCGGCGACGATAGATGACGCGACGACTACGACGACCGCCGACGACGAAAGATTACGGCGACGACAAGATGACGGCGACGATGACCGGTGACGACGAAAAATGACGACGACGACCGTCCATGACGACCGACGCCGACGATGACGACCGTTGACGACGATGACAGTCGACGACGACGATCGACGACGACGACTGCAAACGACGAACGACGACGATGACCGACGACCTACGACGACTGCTCAAATGGAAAATGTTGGTCTTCTTTGATAATTAAATGGATCTCCTAAATCAACCATTTGTAAACAGATGGATACATAAATAAAAACACAAGCATACATGCAGACTTTTATGAAAGCAATCAGTCAGACACCGGGACAGAAAACAAGCAGACAGACAGGTCAACGGATAAACACAATTAGACAAAAAACAATAACGCAGTCTAGCTGTTAGCCGTAATATATCATGCTAACCGAGAACACAGTAGTAGTAGTTGTAGTAGTAGCAGCAGCAGCATCAACCGCAGCAGCAGCAGAAAAAGAAGAAGGAGAAAAGAAGGAGCAGCAACAGTAGCAGGAGAAGAAGAAGAAGAAGAAGAAGAAGAAGAAGAAGAAGAAGAAGAAGAATCTGTTTCACGTAATACATGAAAGTCCATGCTATTCACATAATAATCAATCTAAAAAAAAACGATAACATGTGATCGAACTCAGCCGCCATCACAGTTTCCTTTGTTGTTCACTCGTTTACTGGCAGTTTCTAAGGCAGCTCGTTAAATCGATTTCATAATAATCGGAGTGACCAGGCAGAATCGTTGCCTATTACACAACAACAGCATCAGAATAATTCGCTACTAAAAGATTTGATTACCAGAAATATAAGCACATTGGAGCGGACAAATGGAGATTGGTTGTTGATTCTATACCTGCTAGTTGTGCGTGGACGGGTTAAATATCATCGTTTCTTATCGCCTTTCAGGGGTCATTTAGTTGACCGATTTTTATACCACGCTTATTTCAACGAGTGTGTTTAGAGGAATGACTGAAAAAGAAAAAAAAAATCCTTGCGATCCATGGGCGAGCGTCTGGCCTCTTCAACACGGTGGCTTTCTTGAGTGTATACGTGTATATACATGTGTGTGTGTGTGGGTGCGTGTATGCAGACACGTATTCAGGCATCCCTGGTGGGCTCGCACTCGTATGTGTATATATTTATATACATGTGTGTATGCAAACACGAATATGTGCATTGCCTCGTGCGCGTACGGATGTATATGCTACACATTTATATATGTTATTGTACATGTATGTCTATATATGTGTGTGTATAATGCAAACCAGCGTCTCCATAACAGCCCTCTCTATGTACTAGAATACCGGTCCAAGCTACTAGCTTAGGTAGAATTAACATTTTTTTGCCAACATAATTGGCACAACGAAAACACAGTTATAACCGATACTGCACACGGTAGGTTAATCGTGGTCGATTTTTTTGTTTTGTTTTGTTTTTCATAAATGGATGAAGGTAACAAAATATTTACATATCCTTTACGGGACGTTGCAGAACTATCCTTATCGTTTTTTCTTTGTTTGTGTGTTACTTTTTGTGATTTACTAAGCATTTGGGAGCTGCGTGATCTCGAGGCATGGTGTCCGCTTGGAGTGCTAGAGGTTAAGGGTTCAATTCCCCGGTAAGGGCTGGGATTTTTCTCACGTGGACTTGGACTTCTAGTAATTCCTGCTGGTCTCTGGGTAGTGAGATCGGACGCCCGTGTGCATTGTTGCGCACGTAGAAAATCACTTGGCAGTTGGAAATCGAAAAAAGTAAATTTGGAGTTAAAAATCTACCCAAAGTATTTCAGGATCCTCGACGGTGCTACAGAGCCTGTGCACTGTGCTGAGCTTCTTTAGACTCAGACTTGAGTTAGAAGAAGAACGGAATACTTATGAGTTACTACCCGTGTGCCATGATGTTGATCCGTTGTTCAAACCTCAAACCTTAAACTAAACAGTTGGTCATATGTGAGGGAGTTTGTTTGAGGTCGGCAACCTTGGCATCTGCATTGTTGATGAAACATCTCTTCCGCTCTTCAAAACTGACCTTGACTTCTGGGTCAACACCGCCTAAAATGAATACCAGGTAATGTCCTAGGGAAGTAAAGGCGGCCGGTGTGATGTTGAACACGTCATTAATCTAATTTTCGATAGGTCTAGAAATTAGGGCTGTGCCGAATATTCGCTTCGTATTCGCTTCGGGGCCGAATAGTAGACCTATTGACTATTCGGTATTCGGCCGAATAGTTGCGTTCGGGCCGAATACGAATAGTAGTTACCTTACACCCGCTTCTGCATACACTGCCTTAATACTGACAACATGGAACGATTGGTTTTGTTGAAAGCTAATGCAGCTTTCATGCATTAACTAAGCTGTCAGTGACAATTTCCAAGTTTAGTTACTTGTTATAATACTTAGGATTCTTTTATTCCTAGTTATTAGTTACCACAGACTGACTGAAGGATGCAAAGCATAAAATGTTTTTAAATGTTTACTATTCTGTACGAATACTAACTAGACATGGAAAGAATATAAACTTCGGCCACATCCTAGTCGATAATATGAGAATCAAACGAACTGAAACATATAAGTACTTGGGTGCAAACTTCAACTGCTCCAACATGCTGAGAGAAGAAATACAATCTAGAATACAATATAGAAATAAAGTATACTATGCCCTTCAACATCTGCTAAAGTCAAAGTGTCTGTCTCGCAACACCAAGATCAAAATATATAAAACGTTGAAAGGCCAGTAGTTTTAGATGGCTGAGAAACTTGAAGCAGAAATAAAAGAGATGAGGCCTTAATACAGGTTTTCGAGAACAGTCTTACGACAAATCTTTGGACCCATCAAAGATGCTAACAGCGGGGAATGGAGAGTGAGAAGCAACAACGTAACACATAATCTGTTTAAATCACCATCGATCACTGGCATCATGAGAGCTAACAGAATAAAATGGTTGGGACATATTGAAAGTATGTCAGGTTACAGAGAAGTAAAAACTGTATACACCTAAGAGAGGATGGGCGTAGACCACGAGGCAGACCCAAAAAAAAAAAAAAAATAAGTTCGAGAGATAATGTCCAGCCAGACCTGCAAACAACTGGTGTCACAAATTGTGAAGATAAGGCCAGCCAATAAGATGAAAGGAGACGAGTGATATCTGCAGCAGTAAACCTCAAGGGCTCAGAATGCTAAAGAAGAAGATGACTATTCTGTGCTACTTTATGTGAAGTATAAGTTCAGCGTACATTTGACATTATGAATGTTTTTTTTATTTTATAGATAAATTTTATACACTATACACTATTCGTATTCGGCGGAATAGTTGGTTTCGTTTTATATAAAATCGCTATTCGGTACAGCTCTAGTTTTGAAAGATGTGGGAGTGGTGATCACTGGAAAGATCTGTGGAAGGAGGGTTAGAGGATGACAACGATAAAAGATTCTTGATAGTCTTTTTTCATGGCATGGAAGTGTGTCACCACACAAACTGATACAGGCTGCAGGAGATCACAGACTGTGGCGTGGCATAATCGCCCACGCCAGTCAGCAAGGCACTTTATGATGATGATATATTATTCGTATTCGTATTCTGCCGAATAGTTGGTCGCACTATTCGTGTTCGGCCAAATAGTGAAAATCACAATTCGGTACAGCCCTACTAGAAATATAGGCGTTCTGTATGCATAGTGCTGCATTTAAATTTTATAGATTAAACTTTGCTTCGGTGGATGATGTGATCAACTTTCAACAGCCGCCTTTACTTCCCACGACTTCGCCTGATACCTTTTTTAGGATGAGTCGAGTTGCCTTATGCCTCAGAAAGGCGTGGAAAGCGCTCATTACTTTGATTTTTTTAAAACTTAAATTTAACATAATTATATGTTTACTATTGCTACACAGGGCATATTTGTTGCCATGTACTTACGTTTGATAATGTTTTGTATAGTCCCTTTTACTTTAACTCCGGGTTTACATTGAAAAGCACATTAAATAAGAATATCAACGAGAGAGTCCTCTCTTGTGAATCAGAACTATAGTACGTTTCAAAAGTAGGGCCCTCACATTTTAACAAATATTAAAAAAAAGAAACTCCTGTGCAGATCAACACGAATGTTTGCATGTGGCTTTTGATTTCCCAAATCCTTTTGCTTTTATAATTTACTGCTGCTGTCTTCTTAAAGCGGCGAATTTCTTTGATCTCTGTTTGACTAATTATTTGTGTATCCTTAAAACGTAGAAAAAGCGGTAATTGACACGCTTGGAGATTGTTTTGAAATTAGTTCACATCTGCAGCGATGCGTGGTGATTATTTTGATAGCCTATCCTGCATGCAAAGCAAATTTTGTTTACGTAACTCACGGGAGGCTAATGCTGGAGATGAGCAGAAATTAAAACGCCTATGAAACGCATGTAAATTGATGTTTCCCGTTACTGAGTTAACTGTAAGCTTCTTGATTGTGTGTTTTAAATCGGTGTCTGTTGTTTAATACACTGCAAATAGGTCAAAACTAAAACAAATTAGATTGTGTTTACATTTAAACAAACTTATTACAAGGACATGATTATTATCAGGTTGCAAAACTAATTAAAAAAAAATTCACAACAGTTACTGGGTTACAGATGTTCAAAGTCAGGCACGCCTTCTGAAACGAACTAAACCACGCTGGTCGTATTACAAACAAAGATCGTAACCTAAAAAAAATGGTGCTAAGCAGAACGTAAACCAAGTTGGACCTATAAGAAAGCGGGCGTGTACCGAGGCAGCTCTGTTTTTCATGCGGTAAATAGTAAGGACCGTATGCTTGTAGGCGGTACTTGTGTTTAGTGGTACGTAACGTAACGGAATACGGGCACCTTTGTGGATATCATCCCCAGCCGCTCCTCAAGCACTACTATATTAGACACTTGACGGTGAGAACCAGCATTTTTTTCAGACACTTTGCAGGAAATACCAGCACCTTATTGTTTTTGTCCTAGGATGAGGAGTGGCCCTTAGCTTCTTCTTCTTCTTCTTCTTCTTCTTCTTCTTCTTCTTCTTCTTCTTCTTCTTACTCTTCTTCCTCTTCTTCTTCTTCTTCTTCTTCTTCCTCTACCTCTTCTTCTTCTTCTTCTTCTTCTTCTTCTTCTTCTTCTTCTTCTTCTTCTTCTTCTTCTTCTTCTTCTTCTTCTTCTTCTTCTTCTTCTTCTTCTCTTCCAGCATTTACTACACCCTAGGTGTAGGGTGAGGAGGGAATTGTAAGGATCATTTGTGCGCTTTTTCTAATTCATTGTACAGGTTGATGTTCCTTTCAGCTGGGTTGCTCCTAATGGAGCATTCTCGTCTGGTGGCCAAATCCTCTTACTTGTTGTTCTTTAATGAATTGTATAACTGGTTTCAGTCCTAGTCTTCTTCTAATTTCTGGAGCTCATTAAATTCTTAAAATAAAATATAAAAAAAAAACTCAGGAATCAGTCGACGGAATGAGACCTTAGAGTTCAGTGGCCATGCAGCAGAGAGACTCAGCTCTGATCAAATGTCAGGAAGTGGCCTCCATCTGAATTCGAGCGGCCATTATTCTTAAAGCTCGTAGAAAAACAGTTGAATCGACCGGTGATCGACAGACGAAATCCCGTCTTCTGATAGCTTGTATTGCGCAATAAAATCCAACTGCAAGGGAATGCATTTCATGCGAAACTCATTATGGGCTTGTCTGAGTACAGTCATTGTTTTACCTGCATGCGAGAGTCATGTGTTTGTCTGAGTACGGTTATTGTTTACTTGCATGCGAGACTCATGGGTTTGTCTGAGTACAGTCATTGTTTTACCTGCATGCGAGACTCATTATGGGTTTGTCTGAGTACAGTCATTGTTTTACCTGCATGCGAGACTCATTTTGGGTTTGTCTGAGTACGGTTATTGTTTTACCTGCAAGCGAGACTCATGGGTTTGTCTGAGTACAGTCATTGTTTTACCTGCATGCGAGACTCATTATGGGTTTGTCTGAGTACGGTTATTGTTTACTTGCATGCGAGACTCATGGGTTTGTCTGAGTACGGTTATTGTTTCACCTGCAAGCGAGACTCATGGGTTTGTCTGAGTACGGTTATTGTTTTACCTGCAAGCGAGACTCATGGGTTTGTCTGAGTACGGTCATTGTTTTACCTGCAAGCGAGACTCATGGGTTTGTCTGAGTACAGTCATTGTTTTACTTGCATGCGAGACTCATTATGGGTTTGTCTGAGTAGTCATTGTTTTACCTGCAAGCGAGACTCATTATGGGTTTGTCTGAGTGCGGTCATTGTTTTACCTGCAAGCGAGACTCATTATGGGTTTGTCTGAGTACGGTCATTGTTTTACCTGCATGCGAGACTCATTATGGGTTTGTCTGAGTACGGTCATTGTTTTACCTGCATGCGAGACTCATTATGGGTTTGTCTGAGTACGGTCATTGTTTTATCTGTTTTGTCTATCTATCTATCTATCTATCTATCTATCTATCTATCTATCTATCTATCTATCTATCTATCTATCTATCTATCTATCTATCTATCTATCTATCTATCTATCTATCTATCTATCTATCTATCTATCTATCTATCTATCTATCTATCTATCTATCTATCTATCTATCTATCTATCTATCTATCTATCTATCTATCTATCTATCTATCTATCTATCTATCTATCTATCTATCTATCTATCTATCTATCTATCTATCTATCTATCTATCTGTCTGTCTGTCTGTCTGTCTGTCTGTCTGTCTGTCTGTCTGTCTGTCTGTCTGTCTGTCTGTCTGCCTGCCTGCCTGCCTGCCTGCCTGTCTGCCTGCCTGTCTGTCTGTCTGTCTGTCTGTCTGTCTGTCTGTCTTTCTTTTTTTTTCTTTCTTTCTTGTCTTCTTCTTCTTCGTCTTCCTCTTCTTCTTCTTCTTTCGGATGTCATGTTCGTTTAACTTGTCATTTACATATGAAAAACATCGTTTGTCGATCATATGACAGTTTCTGTGCTTATTCTTAAACCGGTTCTCTCATTATCGTTTCAGATCATCTTCAGTCGACACAGCAGTTCGCGAGACATCCACGAGCTCATCGCCCAGGCCGCCGGCGTTAGCAAGTAAGTCATCTCCCTTGTTTGTCTGTTCACTTACCCTGTCGTTTTGTGTCAGGGAAAACAGCGGAATCTGTCTCACAATTAGTTTCCTGTCAGTCTATTCCTAAGACGAACGGTGCTGAGAAGGAGGCTAAAGGTGCTGGACTAGATTCGGTCCATTAGTAGATTTTTCGGACAGTATGTCCTCTCCAGACTCCTACCTTGAGGTGACATAAGCCACAGACGCCGACGAGCTGACATTACCAATATGACCACAACAAAATTGCAGGTTGGACGCTTTGATAGTTCAGGGACGGCTGTGTTTATTTGGTTGCCGTCTTACGTTGGTTTTGACAGTGGTATCGAGAAGCCAACATCCCACGGTACACTGCAACACTGAAGTCATTACTGGGGTGTCAGCGATTGTTTGTGACGAAGACGGCCTAACTTGAAAACTCCAATAACACCTGTTAGTGGGTGTTTGGGTTCGATACCAGCTGCGCACGATTTGTCTTGCGTTGATCTAACAGTGGTACCGAAAGCTGACCGTTGAGCAAGCAAGGGCAAACTACTGAACGTAAAATGTGCCTAGAAAAACCACAACAGCCAAAAACTGCTGGTGTTGTTTGTGCAACGTCTTGTAAAGGATACGTAACTAACGTTAGTGGGTGGTTACTATGTGGTTTGCAATGTGGTTATACACGAGATTGGGTGCAGGCGCTCCGACAAAAAGAAAACACTAAGGAATGAGGATGAAATAACTGAGATAACGAAAAACCAAAGGCTCACACTTTCAACATCACATCGTGGGAAAATGTGATAGCGGTACAACAAATCACAAAGGACACGGAAAAGGACGGACAACAGCCGAATTCGAGAAAACCAAAGACAAAGATGGTCTTAAAGAAACAGACTTCTCTCCAGACAATTCTTTGAACGTGACATTCCGAATGTTTGGCTCCTCAGCCGGCACTCCATTTTCTAGAGACGCACAAAGTTACCGATAATTAGAATGTAGTTCACGTCTGCCGGGGTCGTCTTGTGGCAGACATCTTGTCCCAGGTCTGTCTAGATATTCTCGATCCTAATCTAGTTTCAGCTTTCTAGACTTTCTCAGATGGACTGCTCCTGATCGTCTGTACTCTTCTTCCATTCTTTCTGATGACTGCGTTTGTCTTTTTTGATCCTTTTTGATCTTTTTTGGTGTGTTTGGTTGTTTGTGTATTTTTCAATAGCTTTTTTCTTCTTCATTCCATTCTGCTTAATATTCGTCTCTCCCCCTTCACTGCTTTTGCTCCACACTCACCCCCTCCCCTTCTTCTTCTTCTTCTTCTTCTTCTTCTTCTTCTTCTTCTTCTTCTTCTTCTTCTTCTTCTTCTTCTTCTTCTTCTTCTTCTTCTTCTTCTTCGTCTTCTTCTTCTTCTTCTTCTTCTTCTTCTTCTTCTTCTTCTTCTTCTTCTTCTTCTTCTTCTTCTTCTTCTTCTTCTTCTTCTTCTTCTTCTTCTTCTTCTTCTTCTTCTTCTTCTTCTTCAAGCCACACACTGACGTTCTCTCTCTGTTTCTCCCTGTCTCTCTCTGTCTCCCTGTGTGTCTGTCTCTGAATCCTTCTGTTTCTGTCTGTCCCTCTTTTTCTTCTGTCTATCTGTGTCTGTTCTGTCTATCTTCCTGTCTATCTCTTTGTCTATCTTTTTGTCTATCTTTCTGTCTATCTCTGCCTCTCTCTGTGTGCCTCTTTTTGTCTCCCTCTCCCCCTCTCACTGTAAATTTGCACATGTATTCATGATATAAATGTCAATCTTTAACCAGAGACTAACACTGTTGTGTTTATACAAGGCATGCTGAGGTCATGTCATGATGTATGTGTTTATGATGTGGGTGTCAATCATTAACCAGACATTAACGCTCTGTTGTGTTGTGATGATCCTAGGAATGCAGTCATCTCTCTTCGAGACAAGAACGGCGCCCACGTGTCCGTCTCACCAACTATGCCCCTTAACACATCAGCGTGAGTACTGTTTAACTCATCATTATCACCATCACCATCATCATCACCATCATCATCATAACGATCACCACTATCATCATCATCATTACCACTTTTATCACTATCATCATTACCATCATCCTCACCATCATCACCATTTGTATCAAATTAATCATCATCATCATCATCACCATCGTCATCAACATCATCATCACTATCATTACCATCGTCTTCATCACCATCATCATCAATACCATCATCACCATCATCATCATCACTATCACCATCATCATCATCTTCACCACCATCATCACCATCACTATCACCATCATCATAATCACCATCATCATCATCATCATCACCACCATCATCACCATCACTATCACCATCATCATCATCACCATCATCATCATCACCATCATCATCATCACCATCATCATCATCACCATCATCATCATCACCATCATCATCAACATCATCACCATCATCATCATCACCATCATGATCAGTATCATTATCATAACCATCATGATCAACACGTTTATCACTATCATCATCACCATCATCATCATAATTATTACCATCATCAGTATCAGCATCACAGTTATCATCATCATCATCACTATCAACATCATCATCATTACATCATCATCATCAGCATCAACATCATCACCATGAGCAGCACCATAATCATCACCATCAGCATCACCATCATCATCATCATCACTATCATCACCATTATCATCAGCATAACTAAAGTTAACTATTTCATTTTATGCAAGGCTAACTGATTGGTACAGACAATGTTTAAGTAACCACAGCGTGGAACTGTAGAGTTAAAATTGTCCACCAAGATGTCTGTACTTTTCCTAAATCCGTCAACTATGTAATGTGTTCAATCTTAGTAGCGTAGTCCTAGGATCAAATCCCTCTTGGGGAGGAGATCTTGTGGCCTCACAGTCTCATAATATGGACGAAAAGTAGGTTTTGTAGGGGAGGTAGGGGCTGATAGCTCTGCGTTATCGAGCTCATTGGGAAAAATATAGATTAGTAGCGCTGTAACCTTCCAACTGTATCGTAGAAGAAGACTAAGGTGGCAGGGTGGTTGGCCTTAATGATGGTGATGATAGTGGTCATTGTATTAAATGATAATGATGTTAGATTGTGATGTTAGATTGTGTTAATGATCCGAGTGATGATGTTAGATTGTGTTAATGATCCCAGTGATGATGTTAGATTATGTTAATGATCCTAGTGATGATGTTGGATTGTGTTAATGATCCTAGTGATGGTGTTAGATGGTGTTAATGATCCTAGTGATGGTGTTAGATTGTATGAATGATCCTAGTGATGATGTTAGATTGTATTAATAATCCTAAGGATGATGTTAGACTTTGTTAATGATCCTATTGATGATGTTAGATGTTTTTAATGATCTTAGTGATGATTTTAAATGGTATTAATGATCCTAGTGATGATGTTTGATGGTATTAATGATCATAGTGATGATGTTAGATGGTGTTAATTATCCTAGTGAAAATGTTAGATGGTGCTAATGATCCTAGTGATGATGTTAGATGGTATTAATGATCCTAGTGATGATGTTAGATGGTGTTAATGATCCTAGTGATGGTGTTAGATGCTGTTAATGATCCTAGTGATGATGTTAAATGGTATTAATGATCCTAGTGATAATGTTAGATAGTGTTAATGATCCTAATGATGAAGTTAGATGGTGTTAATGATCCTAGTGATGATGTTAGATGGTGTTAATGATCCTAGTGATGATGTTAGATGGTGTTAATGATCCTAGTGATGGTGTTAGATGCTGTTAATGATCCTAGTGATGATGTTAAATGGTATTAATGATCCTAGTGATGATGTTAGATGGTGTTAATGATCCTAGTGATGATGTTGGATGGTATTAATGATCCTAGTGATAATGTTAGATTGTGTTAATGATCCTAATGATGAAGTTAAATGGTATTATTGATCCTAGTGATGATGTTAGATGGTGGTAATGATCCTAGTGATGGTGTTAGATGGTGTTAATGGTCCTAGTGATGATGTTAGATGGTATTAATGATCCTAGTGATAATGTTAGATAGTGTTAATGATCCTAATGATGAAGTTAGATGGTATTATTGATCCTAGTGATGATGTAAGATGGTGTTAATTATCCTAGTGATGATGTTAGATGTATTAATGATCTTAGTGATGATGTTGCGTGATATAAATGATTTTAGTAATGATGTTGTATGGTATTAATGATTCTAATGATGATGTTTTATGGTATTATTGATCCTATTGATGATGTTAGATGGTATTAACGATCCTAGTGATGATGTTAAAAAAGTTCATGATGACGGTAGGGATAACCATGAAGATGTTTGAACGTGAATTTAGATGGTGATAACTTCAACTAGGGTAGAGGGGAGGAGAGGCAGAGGGAGACCGAGAGAAAACATGCTGGACAGTTTGACATTAGGGCATAGATGATCATCTGTGTCAGAGTTGATTAAAAGTGGATAGACATGACTACCAACGCCACACGGCATGGGCTTTATAAAGAAGAGCTTTAGCTATGATGGTGAAATTGAAGATAGAGGATAATTGGGTTCTTAATTTATAACGTACCCCAAACACGAAATTCCCGTGGGGAAATCCACAGCTGACCTGACAGTCCATTATTTCAAGGGGTGCAAGTGTGCTGTTGTGTGGTGCTGTTTTTGAGTGTTCATCTAGTGTCTTCTAACCCTAAACCTAACCCTAACACTAAACTTGGCTGTAGAGAAATCGCGAGAAACTACAACCTGACCACCCTAGAATTTATTGGGAATGTCTCCCGTGATGTTGTCGTGACGTCAGGGGTAAGTTATAAATTAAGTACTGATAGTTATGACAGCGATGATAATGATGATAACAATGTCCAAAATGACTGCGATGACAGCTGTGATAATGGTAATATTAACGATAATGAGCATATTATAAGGAACTAATGAATGAATGAGCACACATTATTTTCAAAGGGTTAAGAATTGGGCACGCAGGCCCGACTAACATTCTGCCCTTCTCGTCTCCCTCCTTCCAGACATATATACTGTTGCGCGCTGATTTGGGTAAAGTGTGATAGTGTGTGAAGGGACAGTGGTATGTCAGTACTTTCTGTACGTTCACCGGGAGGGGGGGGGGGGATAGTGTCAACATGGTCCGAGTATTGAGAGGAGACCAGTGAAAATGTCTATTCACGAACAAGGCGTGCACGCACGAGAGAAAGTGGACGCGTGGGTACTGTGTGGGGCTGAAAGCATGGATAACGAGATAAACAGAGAAAGTGTGAATTAAGTGACAGCGTGATTTTCAGCTAACATCAGCCACCCACATAAGTGTGATTCTCGAGAACGCACACATGAGCGTGAGTCCCGAGAACACCCACAGGATCATGATTTACAAGAACGCCCATACGAGCGTGCCTCTCGTGTAGACATCATCCACCTACACGGATTTGAGGGGGATAAATTGGCGGGTTGAGTAGCCACTGAGAGGCAGTCGAGAAGCGAGGAGAGAGAGAGAGAGAGAGAGAGAGAGAGAGAGAGAGAGAGAGAGAGAGAGAGAGAGAGAGAGAGAGAGAGAGAGAGAGAGAGAGAGAGAGAGAGACCGAGTCAGGGTCCGGGATATCTCTCACGAGTCTAACAGACTAGAATACCGTACGACTATCAGGCATTTAGGTCTGAGTAAGTGTCAAGGTTGCGGTACTGAAGAAGATATGTTCCCGCTGGCAAAGTAAGTCCAGGGGACGGAAGGCCAGTAGTACCTGGTTTCGGAGTACGGCAAGAGGAGTCCGTCTCAAGTCAGCCGTTTTGTATGCTGAATTAATATCAAGGTCCAGTGAATGGGAGAAGTCATCCTGTTCAGCACTACGACGCGTCCAGAGTGTGGGACGCTGTAGTCCTTGGAGCTGTAGTAGTCAAGGAGAGACCGCTACAAATTGAGATCAATAACTACGTCTCTGAATTTGTGTCATGTATCTTGTTAAATAAACATGTATGACGGTGTCATCGTCGTCGAGTTCTATTTCTAAGAGAGGAAGCGGAAGTGTACCTGCTAAGACACTTGGTAGTGTGCAGACTAATTTAGCACACAACATATACATTAATTAATAAAAACATTTTTAACAGCATTACAATATTCAGTACAAGCACTGGAATGGGTACATCTCTAACTACAGCAAACCGTAGTAGTTGTAATCAATCTGGGGGAAGGTTTAAGGTTTGAACAACAGATCAACATCAGGACACCCATAAGTGCTCCGTTCTTCTTCTAACTCAAGTCTGAGCTCAGCACATTGCACAGGCTCTGTAGCACCGGCGAGGATCCTGAAATACATTTTTGGGTAGACATTTACCTCCACATTTTATCAGGGCAGCGCTGTTAGGCTACTCTTTTCGATTTCCAACTGACAAGGTTTTTTTTTAACGTGTGCAACAATACACACGGGCGTCTGATCTCACTACCTAGAGATCAAGGGGAATTACTAGAAGTCCAGGTCCACGTGAAAAAATCCCAGCCCTTACCGGGAATTGAACCCGGAGACTCTAGCACTCGAGGCAGAGATCATGCCTCGAGACCACGCAGTCCTTTTCAATTTGGGGTAAATATGGGCCATGTGCAAAGCCACAGTGACATGTACCCAGTCTGTGAGATGTGATCTTGAGATATCACATCCCCTCTGCTTGCTGCTTCATCAGTGTGCGTGTGCATGATCAATTACAGCAAGCTAACACATCCGTCTCCTGACATGGTTGTCAGGGGGGATCCCTTCCCTGGGGGATCCCGCCCAGTGTTGCCACTTTGGATATTTTACATCCAGATTTAGATGTTTCTCCTTGCATTTAGATGGCTTTTTTGACGTTTAGGTGGTAGATGTTTTTGTAGATGTTTTTTTTTTTGGAAGTGAATTTATCAAATCTAACCTAAGAAACAGGATGAAATTTGACCTCTTAAATGCTATCTTGACAATA